GCAGGCGGACTCTCAACCACTGCGCCACCAGGGAAGCTCTGGGTAACTTACTTTAAATGGACTTGTGCATATTGAATTTTGATAGTTATTGGCAACACCAAGGAGTTTTAAAATAGGAGGTGACAAGGTTAAATCTACAGTCATCCATCCACCCACCCATCCGTCCATCCACACATCTATCCATTCATATATACATCCATACATATGTATGGATATATGCATATGCATGATATATATGCATCCATCCCTTGGACAACCATTTATTGACTGTCTATCATGTGACAGGCCATGAACTGGATGTGGGGACACCATGGGTGAGGTGTCTGATCCTGTGAAGCTCATGCTGTAACGAGAGAGAAGAAGATAGCATCACAAGAGTTTGTCTAGGGCCAGATAAAGGTAAGGATTCTCTAAGGGTACCCCCACTTTCTCCAGCTGTGATTCTGTTCTACAGGCCGATGTCCCACGCAGTTCCTCCATTCCCCTCTACTCCTCCCTCACTCCTATTCCAGTGCTTAGTGCTCACTTACCTCCTGACTAGGAGAACCTGGTGCCATTCAGTCAAATTCAAAATCCTGGGAATATTCAAAAAGTTCTAGTGGGTAACTATTATCACTTCTCCACAGGTGTTCCCTCTCTCTTCCCATTGTTCTGGCTCCACCATGGTCTGAGCCACCAGTTTCCCGTTGGAATGGCTGTAATAGCCTCCTCACCTGTCTGCCTGCCTCTGTTCTCGCCTGCTGACGATCAATCCGTTCTCCAAAGAACGGAGAGAACCGGAAACAACTTTCCAAACAACTGGAAAGAACTTTCATAAAGGTATTTTGGATCTTGTCACCAACCTGGTTACATCCTCCCATGGTGTCCTTTTGGGCTTAGACTAAAATCTAAACTCGTCCCAGGCCCAGAGGGCCCACGTGAGCCGGCTCCTGCCTGACTCCACGCCTCTCTCTCCTCCCTCCACACACTCCCCTCCAGGCACACAGAGTCCTGGAAACATGCCAGCTCCTGCCTCTGCTCCCAGAGCTTCCTGTGCTTGGGGCCCCCTTCTTATGTAGGTCTGGGCTGAGATAACGCCTTGCAGAGGCCTTCCTTGATCATCTAAATCAGGACTCCCAATCCGATCATCCTCTCTCAAATTCTCCTGGGATTCCTTTTCCAGACCACTTACTTGTCTGAATTATCTTATTAGGTACTAGTTTCCTCATATGTCCGGTCAGGGCCTCAGGGAGGAAGGACAGGTTATGCTTGGGAATTTAGGGGGCTGGAGAAATAAGGAAGTGCCAGCCTGGAGCTCCCTGCTGACTTCTCACTCAGATCCCCATGTCCCTCCAGGCCTGAGCCTTTTGCAGGCACAGCCTCTTCTGGAAAGGTTGATATTCTTTCTTTTTTTTTTTTTAATATTTATTTATTCTCTTTCTTTATTTTCTTTATATTTTTGGCTGCATCGGATCTTCGTTGTGGCACTCAGGGTCTTCGTTGCGGCGCAGGCTTCTCTCTAGTTGTGGTGTGGACTTCTCTCTAGTTGTAGTGTGTGGGTTTTTATTCTCTCTCTAGTTGTGGCAGGCGGGGTCCAGAGTGCATGGGCCCCGTTGTTTGCGGCACGCGGGTTCTAGTTGTGGAACGTGAGCTCAGTAGTTGTGGCACCAGGGCTTAGTTGCCCCGCGGCATGTGGGATCTTAGTTTCCTGACCAGGGATCGAACCCCTGTCCCCTGCATTGGAAGGTGGATTCTTTACCTCTGGACCACCAGGGAAGTCCCAAAGGTTGATATTCTTATTCCTAATTTACAGATGAAGAAACTGTGGCTCAGAGATGGGAAAGTTTAGAGTGTCTCCTTCAAGATTCCTTCCTATGCATGCAAAACTATACCCAAAGTGTGTGTGACACAGGTGGTCGGTGTGTCAGCCACATTTTGGACCCAGTTCTGTTGGCTCCAGGGCAAGCGATCCTAGCCAGACCATACTGAACCCCCTCTCGGTTTGGAGTCCCTGAGCCTTGGTGTTTCAAACCAAGACCATACTACCAATATGCAGCAGAACCAGGATCCTAACTCAGGCTTGTCTCGCCCCAAATGCGGCATCCTGTCCTGGCACCTAGCTCTCTCCCTTAACCAGGACCCACCTAGGAAATGAGGGAAGGGAAACTTCCTGGGTTCCCAGCCCAGAGGCTCAGAGAGATAAATACCCCACCAGAGCTAAGTCTGGCAGCCAGGCCCACCCTGCTTCCTGTTGGAGAGGCCTGGGGTTACTCACGGTCACAGCTGAGAAGTCAGCCGGGCCTTGGGACATCCTTGGCTGGCTCCCTCCTCTGAAATCCCCTTCTGGGGTCAGATAGCCACAGGCCTTTCCCCTGTGGAGCAGGTCCAGCCAGGATTAGTGAGAACCCCCACTCCTACCCCAGTGAGAGCAGCACAGCTTAGCACTCTAATGCCTGTGCTCCAGGGTCAGGACCCTAGTCAAGTAATTTAAACTCTCCAGGCCTCAACTTCCCTGGCTGTACATGGGGCTACATAAAAGTACTGGGAGCTGCTATTATCATTCTTCTCCTAGCTGGCTAACTGCGTTTTTCAAATTATGGGACAAACTGGAGAGAAGTACAGGTTGCCACCCATTTTACGGCTGGGAATCAGGAAGGAATCGGAAATCTGAGTCCTCAGATACATGTCCCAACCTAACTCATCCCCAGGTGCACTTGATTCTGTCTTTCAAATGCTTCTCGGACTCCAGTTTGCCTGCAGTGCTGTGGTTCTGCTGTCATCATCTCTGGCCTGGATCACCACAACAGGGCCCTCACCCCTGTTTCCCATCTTCTCTCTTCCACACTACCTGTAGTCAGAGCAAGCTTCTAACAAAAAGCAAATCTGTCTGGGTCACTCTCCCGCTCAAAACGTGTGCGTAGCTCCCCTCCTTCCTCTGATCTACAAGACTCTGCAAGATCCAGCCATTACAGGCCTTCCAGCCATACCTCTCACCTCCTGCATCTCTCAAAGAGCCACAGTGCAGGAGCATGGAGGTACTCACAGCTTTCTGTGGGCATTGCACTCTCTGGCCGCCAGGCCTCTTGAGGCTCCCTCTGCCTGGACCCTGCCTGACTCAGGGTATGCATCCTGCCAGTGGCTTGGATAACTTTGTGAGGCATTCTCTCTGAGTCCCCCTCCCCTCCACCCCTGCCTCCACTGAGCTCCCTGTTAAGTCCCCCATTACAGTCCTCATCCACCAGATTTGTCTCTGCCTGTGTCCCTGTCTGCTTCTCCACCTGATCTTGAGCTTGGCGAGGCTGGAGATGGCAGGCCCACCAGTCTCACTCCTAAATCCGAGCCTGGCTCAGGGGCACCTAAACATTTGGGGACTGAATCAATGAACTGCAATATGTTGAAGGCCTGGGAAATAAACAGCTCCTGAATTGGTCTCTGTGTCCAGGACAGTTAATGCAGTCAGGGAGACCAGCCATAACTAGGTAAGAAGCTAATCAACAACAAAAGGCTTTGATAGAAGCTTGGAAAGGGAGAAGATGGTTCTATCACAGGTTGCGTGATGAACTGCTTTAACTCAAGCCCTGGCGAAGCCTTTGCAGGCACTTCCCTCCTCAGTGCTGAGAAATAGAGATTCGAATCCAAACACCTGCATGGTCTAGTTCCGGCCACCTCTCCTGGGTGTGTTTTCTGAAAAATGGGACTCGCTACCTTCCCGGCCTGATCTAGTCGTCAACGAACTCAAATCTGGGAGGACACTGGAGGGTCACTTCAGCCATAGTGCTCATATTGTTTCTTCTCGTCATTGTTTCTCCTTTTCTTTTGCTCGCGCCCTCCTCGTTGCCGGCCTGCCGGCCCCGGCTTTCCGCCCCGCGACCTCCCACTGCCTCCCCAGGGCCCCTAGCCTTTTCTCTCCGCTCCGCCCGGACCTAGGAGGCGGGCCCAGATGGGCGACGCACCAATCCGAACGCCTCGAGCTGCCGCGGCCTCCCGTGAGTCCCGCCCCACGCCGCCGTCCTCCAATCGCACTCCGCGGCCACCCCGCCGGGCCGCCCAATCGTGGGCGGGCTGAGCCCCCGGCGCCCCGCCCCTCCCGCGCTCAGCGGCGGCTCCGCGGGTCAAAAAATCTACAAACAATAAATGCTGGAGA